CCTACAGTCCACCAGAGACCCCCCAAAAATGCATTTCTCATGGCTCATATCCTGGCCTTTACTCTTTGTCGGTGCTCTCCCTCGGAGCGGGTGCAGTAGCTGGAAGGGAGGCACAGGGGACAGGCCTTCAGTCACCCATGAGGACCTAGTTCTTAAGTGGCCACCATCACCATGGGCTCCTCAGCTGCATAACCCAGGCCCGGAACCACCACACGGTACCTCAGCATCCCCAGCCACGCAGCTGGGACGTGGCCAGACACAAGGCAGCTCTGGGTGCTACAGAGTCAACCGGTGTCTTTAGGATCCTCATACTCCCGGCAGTCTGCAGGGCTAAAGAGATTTTATTTGCAGATTTTCATCCCTAACAAAAAATAAGTCTCTGCTATTCTAGGCCAACAAGGGCACCTGATTGTAATATTTGTGACATTGATGCGTTATGCATAACTTTATCTTACAAAGACCATAACAGCAACCTTTCCTGTTGAGGCCAAGTGATGCTGTGCTACTGACACCGTCCTCCGTCACACTGCTCGGTGCCCAGCCTCCCCGCAGGACTCCCCAGCAAGGGCTGGCAGCTCTTGCCACCTTCGTGTCATGAATCAGGTCCACACTGAAGTCGATGGGCACGAGACATGAGAACCCTCACGGCAGCCTTTGACACCAGCCTGATCTAGGAATGAAACACTTCTTTCAACTTGCAAACACGCAACATCCACCCCAGGCTTTCCTACCCCACCACAGAAACGAGGGATGGGAAGGGGCTCCCAGAGCACACGCAGGCAGGTCCAGACTGCTTTGGGAATGATTCATAAGGAACACTGTAAACTCAAAGTAAATGCAACATGTTTTATTTGAGGTTGGAATAAATTACAACTGTAAAGCATAATTTATTGCTTTATAAATTGTCTGGTCTTAAAAGGCTTTAATATCAAACAAACAAAACAAAGACACATTTGATTAGCAGTTCAGTTCTCTTAAGTTTCATGAACAGCTCAGTAGGGGGATTTCATTCTATATACAACTGAAATCTCTGATCACAGGCTCATAAACGTGACTTTGACATGCATTATCATCATTCAGGTATGTTCATTTGCTTTAGAATATTGTTTTTATTGCAATTTTCCCTAAAATATCCCAGTCCTTCATTCCTCACTCAAATACAAATCCCACTGGTTTCAAAAAACTCCTTTAAATGATATGTGGCATGTTCTACCCCTGCAGAAGGAAGGCTTCCAAGTCTAAACCAGGAATGAGTCCGACGAAAAAGACTCCTCAAGTTAAAATACTGAAATCCCATGCACAAAAAATGTGTCCTCCCATTCTGAAGATTCGTGCAAAAAATCCCAATATTATCTGAATGAACTGATGTGGATACTTCCTATATTTATTGTACGTTTACTCCGTGCCTGAGACTGGTATGAATTTTGCTCAGCACCTGTACTCCTCTCGGATGCAGACCGAGGCACACCTGGGCTGCCCTGAGTCCCGGGGGATGAGGGGGTGCTCACCGGAGGTGAGGTGCACTCAGCGCTTTGCGGTACCCAGCCCTGAATGCAGAGATGCTGTGACACAATGAGCTGGATCTGGCTAGCTCCAGCTAGATATGATAGGCAGAGAGAAGGCCAAAAACTCACTTTCTCAGCCTCCCGAGGAGTCACAGCTCCTGAATGCCAAAAAAGGAATGAACATTGATGAACCCCTCTTCATTGCACCACAAAAAAGGATTCCACCGAGGCATCCTGCCCTGCTCTGACCCTCTGGCACTGCAAGGGCCCTGGGCTCCCCGTGCCGTGGCTCCAGAACAGCATCTCCCTGAGCTATTCCCTGAGCAGGGAGCGAGCACCTCTGCTCATGCGTTCCCGGCTGGGGCCGAGGCAGCACAAAATGGACTGGCTTCTGTCCTGTACTACACCACCGGCAAAACTCTCCAGAAACAGAGCTGAGGACTCCCATCTCAATTAGCCCTTGGAACAACTCAGAAAGTTTCCAGAGAAAATCTCCAGGGCAGCTTCTCTTCCAGCCACAAAACTAACTTTATTATGAGCCACCAGTACAGAAAATCCTTCTAAAACTGGCTCGGTATTACTCAGAAAGTTCCTATTTAGAGAAGAGTTTCTTCTCATACCAGGCTCCAATATTCTTGTCAAGTCTACGAGAATGTAAATAGCTGAGTGAGCTGCTAGGATATTTTATGCTGTATTACTGATTGGGAATGGTTAAGTCTATTACTGGATCCAAGAAATACATATCAAACTTCAAGGAAAATACTATTACATTGATCCTGGTGCGATTTCAGTTTTCATTAAAATTTCATCAGTCATGTACATATCTTTTATGCATAATCTCATTTAAAAAAACAGCAAACAAACTTTCTTCTACGAAACACAGTTTCCTCAGAAGATGTGTTTCTGTTGTGCCATGAGGGATGGCCAGCTTCGACCTCTGTGAGGTGGTACAGCAGATTTTAGGCACTGCACTTGCCCATAAAGGCTCCCAACAAGTCAAGCACCAGGGCAGAGCTTTGGTGGGAGGCTGGGAGGGTGCAGGGCCACACCTGGCGCTGTGCCGAATTGGGCCAATTGTTCAGCACTTTTCAGTGTCCTCCTCATTCAGGGACTGGACAACCCTGGTTTAGCTCCCAGCCACGTGGTAAAGTGCTTAATGGAGCGGTGGGGAACACTAACAAGCCTTCTTCCACCTCTGCCCCTGCCTTGGGAGAGGCTTATGGAAAGGTGGCTTTGTGTCTGCTTTGCACTAGCAGGATACATTGTAGTTGGGACAAGGGCATGCATGTGGTGTGTGCCTGATTCATCACCATCTTAGAGAAACATAACTCAGAAATGTGCAAGCCTTTAAAATCATCAGTCATCTCATTTATGCTCACCGAGAACAGATTCTTGGCTGACTTCTTTTTTTCCTTAGCAGTTCTGATTTTTTCTTTGAAGATGAGAAGGAGGAAAGCTAGCCTTCAGGGAGAAGGACAAGCAGAGACACTTGCAAATTAAAATGCATGCACATGTCATCCACTTCAGCAGTGACCGCCAGTCTGCACTTTACAACACAACATCTTATTATCTTGAACCTTCATTCCTCATCCCTTTCAAAGGTTCCCAAGAGCATTCCTTTCTGTGTCAGTGAGATGTCCCAGGGGACACTACAGAGAAAACTAATGAGAGGAGCAAACTGTTGTCACGAGGACAAGTTACAGGGTTACATTCACGCCATAGACTCTGGAGGAGCAGGACAGGGAGCAGACTTACTCCATTTTCTGGTGCAAGTGCCATACGAAGCAGGAAGACAAGCACACAGTGAGAAGGAAGATGGACTAATGGCTAGTGCACTGTCCTGGGATTTGGCAGATGGAATTAATTCACCTTCTCCTTGTTCTTAAACCAATCAGGAAAAGGAAACAGTTTATATTAACTTCAGGGTGCTCAAACATTCCCTGCTTAGCAAATACCCCCAAAATACTTCTCCTTTCTTAGTAGTTCTTAACAGATTAGGTATTGCCCTTCTCAGACTAAGCACACCAGACAGAAACCTTCCAAAGAATCACACCTCTTCTAGGAAAAAAAGAACCAGCAAACTTCAGGATTGCTACATCTTGGCTAAGGCTCATTTACCTCTCTGCAAAGCCTCTTACACCCCCTGATCTTCACTCCTGAGCTGCCCATTTGCTGTGCACTTGCAGTCAGAGACAGCAGATCAGGAGCTCTTAAATACATTCACATCTTTATTTCTAATTCACCAGGTTTTGCCTCTGGCAAGGCACTCAGGCCAGTGCTGTCTTAGGGGTTTCTGCTTCAAACACCTTCTGACTGATTGGAGACCAGGTTCCTACTAAACTGAAAAGCAGATGGGACAATGAGTGAGTGCATCTGAAAGCAAAGCTGTTAACTGGTACGTTTGCTCATGGGGAGGGCAGTGTTCAGCCACTCTACCAAAATATGGCAGGCATATTAATTAGTGGTTACAAAATGCTCTAACTTTTCACAGACCTCTATAAGTGCTGAGCATTTTAATTGGCAGGACATCCATGCCTGAGAATTCAGTGTATTGTTAGAAATGGACATTTTCCTCTCCTACAGTCCTTCCTGTCACAAACTGTCTCATGGAACAAACAAGGGTCTATATTGTGATTTTACCCACAGAGGAACTGGGTCAGAGGTGGATCAGATCCATGGAGCAGATGAATGACTTAATCAAGCGTAAACTAAGTCACTTGATGCCAGGTCCAATGCTCCATTCCCCCAACCAGAGGTCACTAAAGAGGGGTCATAATTAATCCCCCAAAGGAACTGACGTATCATGAAAGGCAAAGAGCCTCTGAAGCTATGCATAATGGCATAAAGTACAGCACAAGCATATTACATATTTAGCTCTATCCCTGCTTCTCTGTCACGAGGTCAGTGGGTTGCTCGGACAGTTGTCTTCCGGTCAGTCTATTATGTTATTTCCTATGGAAATGCAGGTAAAGGTATGTATGCGATTCAGTAGTACAAGAGTTTGGTTTTACATGGGCTGAAAGAATGTTTCTTATACCCAAATGAGGTTTTTGCATGCATCTGCATACTCACTCAGATGCTGCCTCTGCGGTGCTCCATGCCTGAGTTTCATGCCAGGTTTGCGCTGCGTAACAGGCATATCATACGCACACAGTGACCTGGTACAAGAGCACATTCTGCAGGCCAAGTCTCAGGCCAAATTTCACCTACAAAACCTAAGTGTGTTGGTAGTTTTTTGCAGTGAATCGGGCTTTCACTAGGAATTAACATAAGCTGCAATGACTAATCTTATACTCTGTGCACTCGCTTATTTTCTTTTCACAGTTTGACCACTTTCTTCCTTAATACTAAAATGCTAAAGTCTTTACATAGCATTCAGAGCATTATTTTCTGCTGGCTGTGTTTCTCTATGTTCTAAGCCTCTATCACAATGCATGCAAAGGATAATGGCTGAATTTGTAATGCTTTTAACTAAAAAAATACTTTTAAAAACATAAAACATAAATTATTTATTCCTCTTTCTCCATTGTTTTAAGCACTGAGTCTTCTCCCAAGATTTTACACAGTTCATTCAGTCTCTGCTGCATTTTAGGAATTCCTGCAAGTTGGGATTCCAGTCTCTGTTTTTCCTCACTCAGTGATAAACGGATAGCGGTGTCCAACTGCTCGAAACGCCAGCCGCCTTGTCCATCAAACTGCAGCAAGTGAGTGTGGTACTTCCTGCAGTAGAAATTAAAACATTAGTAATGGCTCAGGGAATAGACGGTTCACTTTTGCATGCAAATTTGGATATCTGTGTCTCTTTTCAATGGTGCCTCTCAGGAAGCTGAGAGTTGTCCAGTTTTGGATCACTGGGTAAGACTTTTTTTCGGTGACTCATAATCCCAGGACACTTTCACAAGGGATTTGGGTATTTCAAAGCCCGTCACCCGGACCTCCCTAGGCCAACTAGTGAAACTCAGCAGCGAGGTGCCAGCTGTAAGCTACCAGCACCGGTGTGGGCTCCCCAGCTGGGGCGGTCATCGCCTCCAGCGGCCCACACAGCCGGGCTTGCCAAGGCCCTCACCTGCAGGGATGCTGGTGGGAGCGGGCAGCAGGGCTGGGGAGGGTCTCCTCATCATCTGCTGTCCCTGGCCAAGGTGGCAGCCTCCCTCTTTCTGCCTCCCTCTCAGAAACATTGTCTGTGGCTACAGTTGCCTTCACTGCAACTCCACCAGACTCCTTCTTCTCCAGGAGCTTGAATAGCGGCAGCAGACAAGGCTCCCTTCTGCCCCAGGAATGCTAGTCCCGGTTTATTTTATTTACCTTGCTTTCTGAGACACATTTTACTTCCTTAGCAGAAAATACATTCTGGCAAGCACAGTGTACCTGATCCTACTGATAAAACTCTAGTTTGTTCAAATTACACCTCAGTTTGTTCTCCTGCATCTTATAATGTTGGTTGAAGAAACCTCCAGTCCTAAAACATGGTTCAGTTTACAAGGGGCCAAAATAAAAAAGTCTGTGTCAGACTCACCGATATTTCAGTGAGTATCAGGGTGTGTACACCAAAAATATTCAAAGGTGTACATGTAGAGTCTGTCAAGACCTGACAAGACATTTATCAGGAGGCGAAAGAGGAAGAGCAGAGTTCCCTCAGAGCTGCTGGTATGACTGTCTAATTTATCACTATAAATTATAGAAGACGAGATGCATCATAAAACAGCGATTATAAATCCCATCCAGAGAATGTGACAGTTTAATAAACTCAATAGTTTATGACATGGGATTCAAAAGAGATTCAACTCCAGGCTTATATTCACCACTTCTTGCATATTGTTCTTTGTGACACCAAATGCTTAAATCATCCCTCTATTTTTCTCCCACCAAAACCCCAAAAAATCAGGAAGCTAAGATAGCTGATTGAGACGTCCAACGTTTGTGGTCTAGAAATGCAGCCATATTTTGATTAAATTTTGATTACAGAATAATCTGGTGATACCGGTTGTGGCTGTGGTGTGGTGGACTAATTAATTGCCTCTTAGATACCTGCATGTTGCTATTAATAGTTAATAACTGAAACATTTAAAAAAAATAAGAGGGAGGAATAAATACGTGTTAAAGAATGAAAAAAATCAATGCTAAATGCATTTACATCACTATTATTGTAGACAAGTTATCTTGGAAAGTGCAGTAGATATTGACTAAACTGCCCCAGTATGAAGAATAAAGGCCAATCCACTGCCTGTCAGAAAGCTAAAAGCAAAGACCATGATAAATCCCTGAACATACTTACCAAAGAGAAGGTCTGTGTGTTATAGAAAGTAGGGATATCCCAGCAGCTTTTGCAGCTTGGAATATCTTTCCTTCAACATCAATGCTTACAGCACTCGTGCATTCGTCCAGCAATGCGTATTTCGGCCTTTCAAAAGCAGATAAAGAACATTACTCTTTTTTTTTTTTTTTTGGACAGTATTCCCATGTATGATATTTAATTAAAAGAACAACAGAAAGGAGAGAGCTATTTTTGCCAGACAGCTGTTTCTCATCTACAGCTGGAAGCTGGCTAACAACAACATAAACCTTCCATGTATCACTCAGGTGCAGAGCCAGCTTCCAGGAAAAATGGGGTTTATTTTCTGGTCCATCTGAGTACACAGTGATCCAACTTCTATTTTCTAGTTTGACCTAGTATTATTCTGTCCTGTCATCAAGCCATGCAGTAGCTACAGCCAACTGAGAAACTTTCTATCCACTGCTATGTATAGACTGGGCTGCCTTTGAACGCTTGCAGTCTCCAAAACCAAAACGTTTTGGAGCTTGGCTTTCAAACTCCCACAGTCTCTGCAACAGACTTCTGCAATATTTGTAGGACAGATGCAGGGAAGACGTTTGTGCCTGAGATGTTAAAGAAAGGAACACCTGGAAAATGTAATGCTACGTTGCCAAAAGCAAAGCTTAAGTAAGAAGCACTGCCCAAACTAAAAGCAGAGTTTGTATGAATAAATGACAAGGTCTGCAGTACTGTGCAACCATCTAGCAGTACTGCATATTGCATGGAGATTATAGTCTACTACTGCTCAAACCATAACAGGAAACCTGCAAAACTCTTCCTCATTTTCAGGTGCTACTGAAAGAACAAATCAAAATGCTTACTTATGGTAAAACATCCGAGCCATGCCCATCCTTTGTTTTTCTCCTCCTGATAAGACATCTTTCCAATCCATGATGGCATCCCAGCCTTTTAAAAAAATGCAAACAAAACGCATCAGGAAAATGTAAGTTTATGAAGGAAATGCGGCTTCACTTGCAACATCTCTGCAACCTGCAACCAAAACAATAAAAAGCATTTCCGTTGCAGAAGAGACAGCTCAGAGTTCTGGCTCATGGTTTCTGAAATACTTTAATGCCTTTCCACTGGCACTCAATTGGGAAAACGTCCCAAATATCATGTCAATTTTTAAAGTGGAATTTAACCTTTTTGGTCACGTAGGTATTGTCAAACTTTTCTTACCATCTCTTTGAAAAAACATCCTTTACTTGTGTATAACTAATCATTTTATTCTGTCATGTTTATTTTATAGAACAATTTGCTATTTCTTCTTGAAAGATGTGAGTGAAAACTGAAAAACAAATTCAAAGGAATGAAGTGTAAAAAACATGAAAAGCAGTGCCAGACTCCACTCACTACTGTATGCAAAGAATAACTGTCAGCAAACTCTACAGAAACACAGATGCAGACACAGGGATGCATTCTGTGTGCACAGACAAGCAGCTAACACCCAAAACCGCACACAGACAGGAGGATTTTCTATACAACTTCCTGCTACCCTGTCTTTAGAAATGACCCACAACTGGGTATGCTTATTTAATATTCTGCACAGCCTCTAACCGATTTTTTCTTTATCACTTTCAGATACATGCAACGAGAGCGTGATGCATTTTATCTGCAATCTTATGGCAGACTGGTGTTTCTGTGAGTGCTCTGGCATGATTTATAATTTATTCCCACTAATGAAAAACTTCAAATACCAAATTACCCTACTGAAAATAAGTTTTCAATCAAACAATCCAGATGGATAGAGTAGCAAAATAGATGAGCTTTGAAAAGGAAGAGCAGAGATGTAAAGAATATCTGATAGACATTTCTCTCAACAGATCATCTATTCATGAGACAGGCAGATGGAGCAGGGCAGAGTGAGGAAGAGAACATTTTTCCAAATCAGCCCAGAAGCACTGTAAACTAAAAAATAAACAACACAACCAAAAACTCTTTTCTGCCACTGCCCAACTAAAAATAAACATTTGCCAGAAAAGACTATAAACAAGGTCAAGCAAGGAGGGTGGGCTGTGTCATTTCTGAGATCTGAACAAGGGTGCGACAAGTGGGGCTTGTGAAGGTGCAGGAGGCCAGGGAGTGCTCTGCCCATCCTTGGTGCTACACCAGGCCTTGGTAGGTCTGAACAAAACCTCAGTGAAGCATCTGGTGAGAGGTGGTGTGCCTGAAAAGAGGAACTGATAATGCTAGAGACTGAATTCCAAGAATTTTCTCTAGGTAAAACTGTAAAATACAATGTCATGACTTTTTAATATACGTGTATATACTTAGATTAAAAAAACAGGCATGCACACACCAGAAATACATCACCCTTGGTGATTCTATTGTTTTCCCTTAGTTTCCTTCCATTGTTGTTTAAGGATCCCAGTGGGCATCCGCCCAGGGCACATACAGCGCTTTCTATCAGGGGGCTCCTAGCAAAGATGGAGTTGTGTAATGATCAACTGAATCACCATTTGGATGAACTCTCGTAAAGGGAACAGATACACAGAGGCCGCTGCTGCTGAGCAGTCCCGGTGCTGGGACCACACAGAGAGCTGGAGTGCTGCTCCACTGACACCTTCGGCTTCTGAAAAAGACTGTAAAACACCTGGAGCACCCCTTTTTGGCAAATGGTTCTAGGGGCAAGGGATGGGAATGGTCCTTCATCAAAGTCATACAAACAACTATGCTTCTGAAGACAATATTCAGGCTGCTGCTTATATTCTGTTATTTTTAAGTTGAGAATACAAACGAGCTCCAGGGATCTGGATCTGAGCTAGGGTGTGGGTGGGTGTGCATGTGTGCACATGAGCCTGGGGACGCAGTGCCTGCGTTCATACAGTTTCTTCCAGATCAGCTGGTTTATAAAGACTTATTGAAAGACAAAAAGGGAATGGAGTTCAAGAAGCATCATCTCGTCAGCAAAACCATTCTACTACTTCCTCCAAAGGTATATGGCTTGGTCTCCATTTACCAGGATACAATGGTCATCTCTGTGGTCACTTCAGCTTACATTCTAACTGAATATTAGAAGTGCATCTTGTCTTTTCCTGCTTAGCTCCCTCCCTGAACTTTCCTATTTGCCACTTGAAATGTCTCAAACAACAGACAAGGAAGGATCCATTTTAATATTATCCCTTTTAAAAATTATTTTCTAATGTCTGAACAATTTCCTCCGAACACTTACGCATTGCAACTCACAATAAACTGACTCCCTACTGTGCGTTAACAATAATGCACCTACTTGTTCCACTTTTCCTCCTGTTGACATGGCACAGGTCAGTGAAGGTCATTAGTGTTCTGAAAATATCAGGCAAGTCAGAGGCTAACATCACCCATAGCTACATCCACTTTACAAATGAAGAAATTAAATGGCTTGTTCATGAACGCAGAAGAAATGAAATGGCTTGTCCACGAACGTAGCACAAATCTCTCAGTAGGTACAAACATAATCCTGGCTTTCAGAGTCCAAATTCCTTGCCCAACTTCTTGTTACACGTAGCCTTTGATTGCACATGCTATGATGTAGATGTGATGAACACTGGATGTCACACAAATGCCTTTTGCACCAGTAAGACAAAGAGCACGTGTAATGTGCTGGGATAGAGTAACAGCAGTAGAAACACATACAGCTGTCAGCAGAAACTAGTGATAGCCTTACGATAGGAGCATTTCATTTTCTTGCACGATTTCTTTTAGAACTCTTTTTACCTCAATTGTCTGAAGGAAAAAGCAAGCTAGATTTGACAACAAAAAAAGGGTTACATCGGGGGTCTGTAGCGCTGTGTATCCTTCATCCTTGTGAATCCTCACACTTACATGCAAGACAGAGCATTCAGCTGCCATAAAAAGATACGCTTAGAAGTTCCTTTTCCAGATCTACAGTCCAATGCACCTCATCAGACATGGACTGGAGTGTTACAGCTTCACGACAGAAGAAAGGCTACCGCAGTGCACGACGGCCAGAGTCCACCCCTGGTGAGTTTTTGAACGTGGAGGCCTCTTGCACAGCATACGTCCCCAGGCAGTTTATGAAATGGAAGAGAGCCCCAGGGGCTGTGCAGGATGAATATGCAAGGTCAATCCTTAGCTGAGGAAGGAACAAAGAGACCATCAATTGCGTGAGCCCCAGCTCAGCATGACACTGCAGGGATTTGTGTCTCTGGATTTCAGAGCCACTGGAAAAGCCGGCAGAGCGCTCCAGAGTTCCTGCTGGTACCAGCAACAAAAGCAAATCCAAGGCTAAAATGATCAGATGAAAAAATCTCTGAGAGAGAAAAGGCGCTTGTCTGTGTGTTTATATGTGGCCTAGCACAAAGGTTCCCTGGACAAGACCCAAAGATATGACAAATGTGCAAAATAATGAGGCATAATTATAATCTGTGGTGCTGAGAAACCATAAACAGGTTGAACTTGTTCAGTAATGTCATCAGCCCCAACCTGACAGGCCAGGTCATGCGTTCAGCGTGGTGCTGCACGTACTCATGGCTCCTCTCATGTCAGAGGCTATCGGCAGCCTAAGGTTGCGTCACCATTGACACTTGCTAAATATACACAGATTTTCAAAGCAGGTCAAAAAGGAACCACGTTATGTATATCTACTGCACGTCTCCATGCTATTACCCATGATTTCTGGGCCTTTTCACCACCCGTACTGAATACAACCTTCTTTGCTACCCTCATTTTGTATGAAATTATTATCTTGGTAGAGCTAGCAACTTTGCAGGTGTTGATGGGGGCACCTTATTGATAATAAAAAGGTACCAAAATGGCATTCCTCTAACACCAGCAGGTCAGAAAAACAGTGGGAAGGAAATTCTGCCCCTAACAGCAAGGGGGGCTACTGTCAACAGCAACTGCACTGGGTTCTTCTAAGGCTTGGGCTCAAGGACATCCAGAATGGTGGTGGTGGGGAGGAGGATTGTTATTTTGGTGGTTTTGATGTATACTGTTGATACCAACTGAAAAAAATTTTCATGAGGGTAACACAGAAGCTAAATGCCAAACTGGGCTACTTATTCTTGCAACCATTCTATTTACTTCTAACTGGGTCAAACCTTATTGCTAGAAAAAGAGAGGAATTTCTACCATCGGCAGCAACAAGAGCAACATCAGGCTCGTGTTGGCTACTTTACACTTGGAATCTGGTGATCCTTGTACTGATGCAACATGGAAGTAATTCAGCTAAAGACAATAAAATTAGGCCAGGACAAATAAATTGAGTCAGAGTTGTGCATTTCTGGCTCCTTCTGGCTTTTTCATAACTGCTCACAGGGAGCAGAACACAAAACTGCAAAGCATCATATTATACAGGCACGACATCTGTGGTCAATTAAAGCACAACAGAGTCATGCCCTAAGGAGCCTGCTGTCTGGTAGAGGCTTAATACTGTAGGGGATAGGTGAAAGGGGCAGAGATAGAGGTAAGGCTCTGAAGGAGAAGAGGATCTACAGAAAAAAATATTGAAGAATTATATTAGATTTCTATAACTTAATGACTGACAGATAGTTAGCTTCATTCTAAGAACAGTTTATGGAAACAGTTCAAAATAGCTTGGACATATCCCATATATCCACAATAATCTGAATAACTAAAAATGGTTTCATTGATTTTTTTTTTTTTAGATGTAGTACATTTTCAAAAAGTGTATATAATATATAAATAGAAACCTTGCTGGGAATTTTTCAGCAAGACTTTTTTGTATTGGAAAATGCGTGTGTTTGTCAACCATCAAAGCAGTTTGCAAAAAGGAAAAAGATGGTTTGGGGCTTGTTTCTACAAGCTTTATATGGGATTTTTCATTATTTTGCAAAGAAAAAAGTTCCATTTTTAATAATTTTAGTTTAAAAATCTGATTCCAAGTAAAATAATAAAATAAAAATTGGAATTAAAAAATAATTCAGCTATGTATAAACAAAAATTTCAATTGTTCACTTTCAACAAGTATTTCTCTGGCTTGCTGGTTCAAGAAACCAGAATATGAGTCTTTGTCCCAGACTGGGGGAGCTCTAAAGAATATGCAAGCATATGAAATCCATGTGACGTGTCAAATCATATGTCACGGATTTCCTCTCTGCTCCTACCTTGGCACTTGTCTCCCACAAATGCCCAAGGAGAAAAGGGAACAAGTAAGTGTATTATGGTCATAAAAACTTCCTGGTATGTGGTAATCTTTTCCCCTGTTTTCCGGCTTTGCCCACTTCTGTCATTTTAGATCACAAAGTACCTAAGACACTTTTTTTTAATACTTGTTTGTGCAGAGTTTTGCACAGTGTGCCTTTATCCTGAGTAGAGTTTCAACAAAGCATCAGTGAACACTAACAACGTCCTCTAGACTTTTTTATAGATCATGTGTGTCTCGCTTGCACAGTCAGACAGGCAGAAGAGCAAGAATGGGGTCAGCAACAAATACTTTCTTTGGCACAGAAAGTAGAGCGAGAATGATCCAAACCTGTGGTTTCAGTTTGGCAATACAGAACACTGACCCTAGCCAACGGCATCTCATCCGTGGAGCCCAGTAACTGCCTCATCATCAGTTACATGCTCCAGCTGCAGCGTTATAAACCACAATTATGTGCATTCAGAGACTACCGGGGATATGGTTTTGGCCGCTGAGGGTCATGTGTTTTCAGTACATCTACAAGTACCAGCACACTATGAATGCACGCTCCACAGTGGCTTCTTGCCACTGACAATTAACTGCTCCTCCTTTTCCAGCTCTCCATTCCAACTCATCTGCTTGTTCTTCTGCAATCTGGGCACTTCACTTAGTGAAGTAAGTGACTCAAGAATACTAACAGGAATAGTTATAGTGTCAGTGTAGGGAGTAGAGGCCTTCTCTGCAATTATTCCAGTCACTGAGTTTAGCTCTCTGCCCACTTCTTCAATCCTTGTGTCACAGTACCAGATCTGAATAATAATGTGAATTAGAATGATGGCAGATTCTTATTTTCTATTGCAATTTGAGGGCCAACGGTCATTATTACATTTTTAAGAAAGAATCATTAACCCATGGAAAGATAAGAGTATCAACAGGACTGTGGCATGGAAAAGTATATGTAGGTATACAATCGCTCCTCAAAATGATTACTGCTCCCCTTTCTAAAATGTGCAGAAAAGACAGCAGATGAGTGTCCACACATACTACAAAAATAAAATACACCTTCTGACTTTTGAACAGAGCAACAGGCTGCCATCCAGGAATGGGAATTTAGACGTTGCCATGGGATTCCCGATGGCTGAAGCACTACTCTCTATTGTCAGAATGATCCTGAGAGACACCAAGCACACATGTTACAAGGCAATGCACCCAAAGCACCCTCTCAAAAAGGAGAGCTGGCAGAGAGAGGCAGGGTACATCCAGCACTCCTGATATCAGCTCCTTAGGGGGGGCTGAAGATCGTCCTCCTTCTCTCTAAATGTTACCAACTTTGTCCTATGTCTGCTTTAAAAGCATAATGATGGGCAGGAAATTCAAACCAGAGATTAGTGGCTGGTGGGAACAAAAGGATGAAAATGATTGCATGCTTGGGAAAAAAAGCCATTAAATGCTCCAGTTCCTTAGACATAAGAGAAGTCTTTAGCATCTTGACATTTACTGTGCCAGTGTATTTACACAGTCCCCTACTCTGAGGACAAACAACGCTGAGAACACATGGCAACTTAAACAACAAGTGGTAGGTGGCAACGCTGTACTGCCAGCCAAGTATCGTTTGGTTATTTTTAACTTGTTCACCCTGGTAGTGTGGTATCAGACATTCATCCTCATGGCACATAGTCTTGCTGATCCCACAAACCAGGGAGGTGAAAGCAGACCTGACTCTCTTTTCATTCACATACTTTCGAGTTGATGTAGTCAGTGACATTACAAGGTTTTAATACAGGTTACATTTTCTAAGAAAATGAAGGAAGGTCAGAGACCTCACAACACCATGAAAAGACTGGCTATTACAAGAGAACAAGGATGTTCAGCTTGGGTGTGGATTTACTGGGGAGGAGAGGGGCACTTGGCTCTTCTTCCTCCGTTAGCCTCAGAAGCTACAACCATGTCATTGTGCAGCTCCCACAACCACAAAAGGTCTGGATCCAGTTTTGCCAGTTCAGTAAGTAAAGGTCAGTCACACTCAGACACACACATGAGGAATGGATTTGGTAAAGCTTTTCACAAAAATATGCATTTTACCTCCTTCTCTTTGAACTATGTGGTACAGATGAACCGTATGCAGGATACACTCCAGATCTTGATCTTGGTAGCCTTTCTCATGCATGTCATCCACTGAGTCTGGATAGATGACTTGATCACGTAGCGTTCCAATGGACATGTAGGGCCTGAGAAACAATACAGAGAAATCAGTAATCTGGAGCTGGCTCCAAGCGAGTGTATCTTGCTGATGCTCTATGAGCAGAGTACAATGCTTTAAACACCATGTTGCTAAAACTGGATTTATCTGTGGGTGATTGTGGGTGAATTCTGAACTTACCCCAGGGAAAATATATTGTTTCCATAACAGTTGATTACAGGGTAGCAACAGAGGTAGTATTAGCATGAAAACAAAATGACAGATTAGGCAGAATAAACATCCACTGTATAGCCCATTCTGAATGCTTTCACTTGGAATCAGGGAAACTCTATTTTGTATTCAAGGTTTGGTACACTTAGAGATTTAGAAATTGAATTACACACTCACATGTTAAAAGTAAATTGTAACAAAACCGTTGCAGCTCAAACCAGGAAAAACTCCATGGTGCAGCAGGAGACACCCAAGTCAGGCAGGAGAGCACTGAAAGCCTCCTTTGCACACTACTCTTCTGGACTGCAGGACTGGGACTGGTTGTAGCTTAGCTGGCTCTAGAAGCCAGTGTAACACTTCCGAATTGCAAAAAAGCATACGTTTGAGAAGCTGATCAGCTTAAACCTCCCAGCATCAGCCTCCTTTGCCAAGCACGAGGCTGAGCTGTGTGTGAAGCAGCTTCTGAACCACCATGTTCCCAGACCAGGTAATACCATCCGTCTTACTAAAACAAGCCATCTCCACTTTGGAGCCAAAGTCTTTAATTACAGCCATGTCCCTGGAATGGCTATGGACAGTCTCCACAATGCCATGAGCTGTGCCCACGTACCCTCTGGCACAGCCCAGGCCCCAAAAATCCTCATCATCTCTAAACAAAGTCAGCTCAAAGAACAGTTTTACAGCTCTCTAAAAGATACCAGTCCATTCAGGCTAGGATAGCAAAGGCAATCTAAGACACATCTATTTGACCATCTCTTTTGCTGCTCTTGTTCTATAGATTTCTTGTGAAGGTCAAATATCCATCCTGTACCACAGACGCTGCTGGTAACTCTTGGAAGCTGGAAACACCCCAGGAATGACCTGTGAGATTTTGAGTTTGGAAGGGAAGGCCAGAGCCAAAGAACAGTCCGGCTCCAGACTCTGTCCTGCTTCTGTGCCAAGAGTTACACTAACTCCCTCTGGGCTTATCTGCCAAAACAATGCTAGTCTTATTAAAGCTCTGGTGCCAGAGAATGATGGCAGAGAGCAGCAGTTAAAACTGGGCCACCAACGAGGAGGCTTCCAGGCAGCTTGCCCTTGCCACTGAGAACTGCTTCCAACAACTTCACAGTGCATTGACGAGGGGTCAGTTTTCTTCCCCGAAGAACTCCGGACCTGCGTGGTGGGAAGGTCTCAGCCATGCAGAGGCTTTCCTTGACAGAGATGTCTCATGCATTAGCAGATTTCTTCCCTTCCCTTGGAGGTGTCACTGCAGAAGGGGTGGATCTACCCATTGTTATTCTGAAGGTTCCTAAACTACATCACAGAGTAATTTGAAGAAATTCATAATGCAACAGATACAGAATTACAGAACTAAAGCTGCAACATGAACTGAAAGCCACATTCAAGCTGGCGTGAGCTGCATCAGTTTTAGTGCTGCAGACATCCATGGTGAACTGTCTGTACCCATCCGTGGTTAAACTACCTCCCCCACCAGCTGAGTGAGGGTGGGAAGGGATCTGAACTGCTCACAAATATTTGGTCATCTCCCTGCTGGGACAGGCACCCAGATGGAGCAAAACCAGAACCACAAGCCAAATACAAGCATTGCTGCTCTTCTTTGCTCATTGTTCTGCTTTCTGCTTATTGTGGGAAGAGTGTTACTCTGGGCTGCTGCATGAACACTAGCATCAAGTGCAGTGAACCATTTACATTAATGGGGATATTGCAAAACCTCAACTCTAAACATTATGTAACTTCATGAAGTAACAATATATTACATTTCCATAGTGCTCTCCATCTAAAATCCCAAAAGGCTTTACTTCTTGCATATGTAGAAATCACTTCACTCGCTCCAGACTGCTGCCATCTCTGGAACAGAAGACAGCAGCTCCACCTGGGCTCAGAAAAGTTTAAATCAGGTTGCGCATAAGAGCGTGTAATTTAGGTGACGCTGCAGGTAAGGGTAGGGAGGCCAGAGTTACCTATCATATAATTTGTCTGGGGTTTAATACCTTACTCTTGTGAAGTATGATCCTGTAATGGCCAGCAGCTCTGAGATTTAACCTACAGCACAAATGGGAAGGCAATGCTCAAAAGCCCTGTGCCAGGACACTTGTTGCCTGTGCCGTTTATTGAGTCACCAGCACCGCTCCCTGGTACAACTGGATTTTCCTTGTGGCCTCCCATCTAAACACACAGGTACTACCAAGCACGCCTCTCCCCACCTAGTTTTTAAAAATGAAAGAAAAGCCCACCCTGCGGTGGAATAGCAAACCCCAACAATTACTGACTAACTAGCAGAGAGGAAGAATGGCTTACTGTTACGGGTCTGTCCCAGGAGGTAGCAGAGCACGTTCTGCTTCCCCCATCCTATGGGGAGCCACTCATGTCCTTGCGGGGACACTTCATCTTGCTTGGCGTGAGATGTTTCATTTGGGGCTCCAACTCTTGACAACAAAGACAGGCACCTCTGAGGTTGGTTTATCCCATTTATTTTAGGGTGGGGGTGGACTGCCTCCTGGGGGTGTCTTCTCCCTCAATGGGGGACAGAGTCCAGACAACTAACTTAGATAACTAACTTCTAAAGTGCTAAAGTTAGATGAGATCTCATCTAACTCATACTGTTATAATCTCATACTAAACCAGATCTCTCTATCAGTAACTTGAAGAAAATAACCTCCTCACCTACCATGGGTGCCACACAGTCAAACACACTAAAATATGTTAAACATCAGATGTTATTGTAATTGAGGTTACACGTGTGTAATAGCTACACATTAAGTAGTAAGAAGTATGGGTAACTGGATAGAGCAACGGTGAAATTTTGGCTTTGCCGGTAAGCTCCTTGTTCAAATACTGTTTTCATTAAATTTTTAGCAGTTCAAACAACAAAACCAGTCTTTTTTTCCTGAAGTAATACTCGAGTTTAACTGGACTTAATTGATTTCTGATGGAGTTTTTCCTTTCAGCCAGAGTGTCTGGGTCCCAGTCTCAAAGAAAGCACTCTTAGAGACTCTGAAAGCAACTCCTCTGCTGTGCAGAGGTCATGTCTTTGATGGTAATAGCTCAGCAATTGTTTTCTTTCTTTCTCTGCCCTCTGAAAAAAGATTCCTACACTATTTGTTGAGAGACAGGATTTAACATCAGGTATTCTTTTTTAAAGCTGTGGTATCAAACCTCCAGAAAGCTAAGAAAACTTACTGATTCTTGCCTGGTTTTCAGGAATTTCAAGGTATTTGTTGGAAGAGACATTTTCAGTTCTCATAAACTGATCTTTTTTCAGTCAGTTTGATGGTTTTATTGCATTGCCAATTTCTGTTTGGTGCACTTAGCAGTTCACTCTGCAGAACTGTAACTCCATTCTGCTAGTAACGAGTCATCATCCCTAAGGCTTACGGCTTCCCCCTTGCAGTGCAGGCTTTAAAGAAAGATGGTATCAAGAGGTGCTGCAATCTGAAGCCTGTGGTATGGACAATTCCCCAGTGCCCTACTGATACCTGACGCGGTGTACAATGCTCTCAAAATATAAAAGAAATCATATGGGGAGGAAGGGCAAGTGTTGCCAATGATATGGTCTCTTTATTGCAGTTAGCTTTGGGGAGGGAGAAGGAGGCAGGTGCTACGAAACATATCGGAGTACATACCGGTCACTCGTCTTTCCAAACAGAGGACTTACACGCTGGAGATGTTAGGCATAAAGAGAGATATAATGCCAATTCAAAGGGATTGTAGATTAACACTGCACATTGTAACCAAGCAGTACTAACACCTAGTAATTCTCTGATGTCTTGAAGAGCAGAAGGCTTCACTCTTTTGGGTAGCAAGTTAAGAAAGATGACTTGCTGAGATGTCAAGAAATTTCTGTTCCAAAATCAGAACAAGCCATATCCACTTGAAATGTTTACAAATACTTCCTGAATGTATTCAAAGGTGTTTTCATCTTCCATGCAAAATAAACTGTGCTGACAGAACTGGTAACCTGTTCCGACATCCATAATATTATTTAAAAAAATTATAGCAACTAATCAATATGCGCTTTGAGAGTCTATAAAGCAATCTGAATGGTCAGAGTCTTAATTATAAGCACTCTGGAATAAGAAAGGGGCCAAGAATATATCTTAATTCAGTGGCTGGCATCAGAAGTTAAGAAGTCCAACGTAAGTGCCCAAGGAACTGCTTCCACGTACAGCCTGGAGCTCACCTCGCCTGCCTTGGCCCAGGCTGTGATTAACACTTCCTCCACGGAAGGTAAAGTCTATAAACATGTGGCTTGTAATTCTGGAACCCATCTGCATGCCCCCGACTGAGCAATCAGGACCTGACTTGCCATTTGCTGTCCAAGTGTGTTTGCAGTAATTATTGCATTATTATTCTCACAGATATGCAAAGTTATGTGGGAAAATTATGTGCAATGGAACTATAAACTCTTGACTGACCCATCGTCTAAGTTTCTGTCTCTGGCTGACAAGATGCCTCTCTAATATACCCAAGTGAGAGAAAGAAAGGGAACATTACACCTAGGATTCTCCTTTTCAGATAAATTGGAGCTTGGATTTTCAAAGGAGATTGGGATGGCTTCAAAGGGCAATTCAGAGTGCTTGCTTTGACATCTAAAATAACGCACATCCCAAATTTAGGCACTTCTATTTAAGATGGTGATACTGGAGCCCAAGCTCCAGCCATGGAGGTATCTTCCTAGGAAACTTGGAAGATCTTAAGGAGTCAGTGCTTGCACTGAAGAATCTCCAGCCCAGAAAGCCAAGGGCACTGCTCACACCTACAGCTGTGCCCAAATGCTAATTCCCCAGAAGGTCCAGTACAGCACGGAATATGAAA